TTAGCTACTGTTCCTCAGGTAGCAATTCACCAAGTTTATCAAGGTTAAACTAATCACGGAAAGCCTTTCTTTGTGACTGCATTGTTTCAACAGTAAACTATGGGTGTTTTTTTTTCCCAGACAGTCCCCAATTTAAAAGGTTCAATGTGTAGTAAAGTTCTATAATTGAATTCAGTAGGTAGAATGAAGAAGGCAGCATTCTTACAAATACAAGATATAGTATTTCAACTAGAATAAATCATAACACCTCTTGCTTTTGGGGCCCGAATTGATATATGTATTGAAATAACTTTGTACTAACTGATCAGATGGCTGTCACTGAATGGAAATAAGGATTCATTGGAAGATTTAAACTGAAAAAAAATGGTTGGAATTAAGGAATATTGGAGAAATTTCATTGTATGGCTAATATAACCATTTTTGGACTATTGAGTAGATATCAGTTGTCAAAAGAAATCGTATGCTTAATATAAGATGAATTGAATAAGTATTCTATGATTGGTATCATAGAATAACCTGAATCATTTCGTACGCACAACAATTAGCAAGCTGCTTATCTCCCATATTGCTTCTGTCTTATTGCTTAAGCCAGTGATGGCGAACTTTTTAGAGACTGAGTGCCCAGGCAGCCCAGCAGCGCTATGGCGGCCAAACCATCTGCCCGCGCCATGCAGTATCAACTGTATGATGGGGTGTGAGGGCAGAGTCTTGTCTATGCTGCCTGGCTGCCATGTCCTTGGCTGCGCTGCTCCGTGTGGGCCACACTCGGGGGCGAGTCTCCTTCAGGGGGACTGCTGGAGAGGAGGGGGTTGTGGGGGGAAGCAAGGCTGGGGCAACGGCATGTGTGCTCACAGAGAGGGCTCCGAGTGCCGCCTCTGGCACCTGTGCCATAGGTTCGCCACCACTGGCTTAAGCCAATTTCTGAAATTCCAGACTGGCTTATAATGAGCTGTTACTCAGTTCAGATGAGTTATTTTATTTATTCATTCATTTAAAATATTAAAACACCCAACAGCCAGGTCTCTCTTGGTGGTTTACAACAGCGGTTCCCAACCTTTCCAGCCTGGAGGTCCACACGGTGCAGGGAGGCATGTGAGAGGGATGCGCACACATGCACGTACCTCCATTGGTGCAAGTAGCAAACGTGTGCACCCTCCACTCGTGTGAATGGAGCTTCATGTGTGAGTGCTCTCCACTTGTGTGAGTGGAGTTTCACATGCAAGCACAAGCACCCTTCACTCAAGCACCCTCCGCCTGTGCAAGTGGAGCTTCACATGTGAGTGCAAGGGCCTGCCGCTCGCTCAAGTGGAGTTTTGTGCACACGCACGCTTGCCCATCACTCACATGACCCAGTTTCAAATAGTAGTGAGCCATGGCCCAGGGGTTGGGGACCCCTAGTTTACAATACACATAAAATTACAATTTGAATAAAATGTAAAACAAAAAACCAAATAAATTAGCAGCTGCAATATTATATTATATTATATTATATTATATTATATTATATTATATTATATTATATTATATTATATTATATTATATTATATTATATTATATTATATTATTATATTATATTATATTATATTATATTATATTATATTATATTATATTATATTATATTATATTATATTATATTATATTATATTATATTATATTATATTATATTA